AGGGCTATGACTGGATTGAGCGTGCCCTAATTGTGATCCTAGAAGTTAGCTACCAGATTTTGGATGGAGCGCACCCTAGTGATAGGAAGTAATGACGACCAAGAAAATAGACGATTTGGGGAAGAAATTGGAGGAAGAAGTGGGGTTACTTAAATATGAGATAGAGGAAATGTTTTTGCCATTGACAACCGATTCGAAAGCTTGGAGGAGATGCTGAGTAAATTTGTTGAGATGCAATCAAAAGACCCGATAGTCGGTTTAGTTTGCAAACCCTACTCAAGGGTGGACTGGAGACTCTTATTGGCAAAATCGAAAGAGAGAAATCAGACGAGAGGAATGTGAGGAAAAAAACATCAACCATCAAGAACCTTCTCCCAGAGCTCTGATGTTTGGGTGGATTTGATAACTTTGATGGAGGCGGGTGGGCCGAAACATAGAGAAGGGGTTATGCAAGAGGTATAGTGGAGCACAAAGAATAAAGAACAAATGTCGGGAGGGTGTATGACTATGATCGAAAGAGAGTTTTACCCTCGATGCATGGGGGAAAGTAGAAAATGAAGAGGAAGCTTAGGTGGTGATGCTATGGTTAGGAAGTTGAAGATGCCGATCTTCGAGGGGGGAGACGTGCATGGGTAGGTGTATCGGGTGGAGCGATACTTTGTTGTGAATGAGTTAGATGAGAAGGATAAACTCACAACTACAGGTTTATGTTTGGAGGGGAAATCCCTAATCTGGTTTCAGTAGATGGAGACAAGATACCTGATCTGTTTGTGGGATGAATTTAAGAATTGTTTATTGGAACGTTTTTAAGCCATTTGGGAAGGAAACCTATAAGAGCAATTCTATATCTTGGAGGAGGGGATTGTCATGAAACTTAGTGAGAGATTTGAGCTCTTATTTGGACGATTAAGGGGGATTTCGAAAGCAGGATTGGAGGTGAATTTCATGAAGGGCTTAAAGCCAAACATATTGACATCACTCCTATCATTGAGATTGTCAGGATTGAGGGAGATGGAGCTAGCCTAGATGGTGAAGTACAAGAACTAGATTGAGAAGGCCAGCAGGAGCAATACAGATGGAGTGTCGTATCGAGTTGCTACAACCACGACGATACCAAAAGCTCAAATAGTGGAAGTCTAGAGGTAGACTGCATAGACATGAATAATGGACTAAGATCGGAGTAGCACACAAGCGCCTTACAAAGAGAGATTCAAGAAAAGCGAGCCAAGGGGTTTATGTTTTTAGTTTGATGATAAGTTTATCCCAGGACACCATTGCAAGGATTGAAAATTACAAGTTCTTATAGTGCATGACGAGGAGGTAGAGGATGAAGAAATAGAGACCGTTGTGGTGCAAGAGGAAAACTCACTTTTTCCCACCTTGAGGACAATGTGCCTTTTTATTCGGGGGTTGGTATTGTTATGTCAGTGCATAGCCTAAGGGCAATTTGGTCTTTTGTATGCCTAAGAGCAAGTTAGTCTTTTATTATTATTATTGTTTGTATAAATAGACTTATTATGTTTAGGATTAGGTTTATGTATCAAATTATTGCGGTGAGTCTTAGGTTTATGGTTTGGGAGAGATTTCCTACCTCTTGAATTGTAGAAATTGGGTTAGATCGCTTGCCTCTCAAATTTTAGGCGCTTATCTTTTTGTATTCGTGCGAGTTATCAGTGTTGGATTGCTTTGATTTGGTGTTTTGGAAATAAAATTTGTGTTTGCCCTAATCTTTGTGGAAAAATGTGCTGATTTTGATGTCAGATAGCATCAAGTTAATTAAAGTGGATTAAATGCACATTAATCTTCACTAGAATTCACACTGATACCTGAGAATGCTAACAACAAAACTACCAAATTAACAACCAGGTTTGTCATTAGTAGTTATCCAAATCATGCTCACGTGAAAGTACTGCATCATGAATGTAGCATTGGATAAATACAAAAAGCACTTAGCATTTCCTCCAACCCAGTATAGCACTTATGGACTCCTGAAGAGTTACACTTATAGAAATAATAGGCGTTTAACTTCGCTACCTGAGTTGGACCAATATTAAATTTCCAATTATAACAACATGAATTGATTTTGCTATAGGGATCACCATTTAAAGTCCAAATAACATATAAATCAACTTAAACCTGGTTCATAGCATCATAATATTTTGCATTGATAACAAATCGTAGCTCATCGATTTAAGGATCTGTTTGAGATGCTTTTAGTTTTCTGTAAAATTAGTTGTGCAATTATTGTGGGAAAAACAGAATTTTAACGGTTACTGTCAGTTTTATAAACTTTTCTCTCTAGATAATGTCAGAGATAACTTTCTTAGAGCCATCATATTCTTACATATCTGAATATGTAACGGTTCTCTGCGCATAAAATTTTAAAAATTAACAAAATGTTCTAGATAAGTACAAGTTTGATCATAATATATAATGTTGTAAAAGCACCATCCCATACTTACAATAAGCTTATCTAGAACTAGAGCTTGAACAAAACTATGGAAAATCATAATAATAAAGTGCACTTTCATTCCCATATTCAATCATCATGAGCATCCCCAAAAATGTTACAAATTAAAGGTACAAAATGAAATTATTACTAAATAAGAAAGTGAAGGAAATAAAACTTGTTCATTTCATTTATTTGCTTAACTTTTCTGATCAGCATACTTGTAAATCTCTACCAAGTTTACTCTATTTGAACAAATTCATGTGCAACAAATTTAGCACCTAATATCACGCAAAACAGGACTTAAATTTTGTGGTTCTTGCAAAGTCATCATGACAAACTTTTGGCCTTGCTAGTGCAATAGGTATAGTTGGAATCCACAATCTGCTGTGGGTACAATTTCATCATCTAAAAGAACTAAAGGATTGAGCTATCTATATATGTCTGGCAGAGGGCTGGATGTTCATTTATGAGGAGAAAGTGGCAAGAGAGAAAAATTTAGTTGTCTGGCACCAATTCATGAAATTATTTAAAATCAATACATTGAAAATTAGTTTAGAGAAATTTACATGGGTAGCACACAATTCTTTTGTATTTACATATCTCCCACCTATAGTTTCAAATTTTTTTTTTAAAGTCATATTTACATGCACAACGCTTTGGTGCTTTGAACTTATTCACGAAAATGTGCATTTCACTTTTAAAAAGTCGTAATAGTGCTATTAAGCTATTTTTGATGTGATATTAATGATTTGAGCTACGTATGTAAATATGAAAGTTCTGGCGTGAGATAAGTAAATACATAAGAATTGTGTGTTATGTAAATGAATGGCCCATTAGTTTATTCTATATTTTTTTAAAATTTTAATTTATGTTTATTAGTTCCAAATGGATTGCAAAATCTGAAATAGCCCTTGTCATTCTTGTATTTAATTTCTGGCTACTTCTAAGAAAACCTTTATGAATTGAAACACACAACTATATTTTTTCCTGATTTAAACTCTAAGCGCCTCCTTTGAAAGCTTGTTCTTGTCATAGCTAGTAGCTAATTTTTAAAAGAATGCTCTGATCAAGTCAGACAAATCAAATTTTTTAAGAAAAATCGTGATGATGAATGCTCTGATCAAGTCAGACAAATCAAATTTTTTAAGAAAAATCGTGATGATAAAAATTTAATATGCATTTTAAGGGAAACAAATGATTCTTTCCTCTCAACTCTCCTTCTCTCTGCTCTTCTTCTCATTTTTCTTTTTTGCTATTGATTGAAAGCACCGTTGATATTGATAACTACAATAAGTTTTTCTTCTTTTACATGAAGTTCCAGTCATTTGTGTGGCTTTTATGATCCTTAGAATTTTTTGTCATTAATTTCGAGTAGAAAACTCACTATTGGGTTTTAATTTTGTAGTTTTTTATTGAAAGTTGGTAATATTATTTGTAAATTAATTGTTTGCTTTCCCTAAAATTACTAATTGTTTAGTGTTGTCATCTACATGAACATGGCTTGTTAGATCTACATTTGAAATCTTAGGTCTTAGAATACTTTGCATAAAGAGTGGAGTGTTGTGATGAGTTCATGTTCATCTATTTGTCTATGCTATGAATTACTAGTTAATATTATGTAAGATGATGAGGTGGTGTAGGTTGAAGTTTCTTAGATCTATTATGCAGAAGAATTGAGATATATTTGATGACATAACTTGTATGTCAAGATTAGCTGATTGAAGTGGAGAAATGCCCAGTAAGTCTTTATGTAATAAGAGGACAAAGGTGAGTTTTATAAAACTCAAATTGACTTATGACTGTGTATGGGTCTGAGTGATGGGTAGTACAAAATTAGCTAATATTTAAACTGAACGTTTCAGAAATGATTAAGATGAATGCATGCAATAGCTAAAAAGAATAAATTAATGAATGTTTTGTAATAGAAGAGATTGAAATGCCATTCATTGAAGATAAGATAATTCAAATTGAATTTAGGGTATTAGTACATATAATTTGTGTCAAATATTTAGGACAGAGAATGAGAAGACCTAAGTTTACATAAATATAAACAATTCAAAATAATTTGCGAAGAATATTTTCATTACATAGTATTCAACATAAACAAATGAAAAGGAATATTTGTAAAACCGACACTAAATATTTAGATTACATTGGCGATGATGATGAATAAAAATATATGTTTGTGTTAATTAGTTGCACTGGTCTTATCATGCCTTGCATGAGCTGAAATGATCGTACAGTGCATTTGTTATAAGGGCATTCAGTCCCTTTGATCACAACAAGTTTATCTTCCAATAGAGATATTAAGGAAAAGATGGACAGAGAATTATGTGCTAAGTTCAAACCGTAATGCTCGACCGTCATTAGTCTTTTTTTCAATGTTCCTTATGGTAAAACATAATTTTTTTTAGTTTTCTCAGGTGCCACAGAGAATATCAATTATTTTATCAGTTTATTTCATTGGTGGATCAATTTTTCTCTGTGTTGCAAATCATTTATTGATTTTTTTTGAAGAGGCGTCTTATTTTAATACTTGCTATTGTAGTCACAGAAGCCCAATCTAAAAGAATTACGATCAACGGCAGTCAATGCCACCCAACCACGGAACGATTTCAATGAAAAAGCAAAAGGTAATCTTGTTACAGACAGGGGAAGTGCGGAAGCTTCCTCGCCTAATGCGAGTAAAAGAAAACGAAAGAGATATTCAGCAAAAGACCTTCGTTTTGAGGCTTTGGATCAACTTGCAAAAGGTTCAAAGAGGAAAGAACGAAAGAAAGAGTAAGGTTTTTCCTGCAAATGTTTACTTTAAAGTATTATGACATTAGGAGTTATGTCATTGGTTTCTATTGTTTTAAAGGCATTTGAAGTTATTATGATTAAAAGTCATATTTTCTTGTACAGATATCTTAAAGAGAGAAAAAATAAACGCAAAAGAGTAAAAGAGGATAATGCACTAGACTTTCCTGGACGGGAAAATATCAGATTTGGTGAAGTTGTTGTGGCTCCACTTAAGCTTTCATTACCTAAGGTACTATATTGTTTCAAGGAAGATTTACATACATACCACTCAATTTCTATGTGTGTACATGTCTAAATGTTAAACTACAATTTTTGCATACATGCCACCTTCCCTATGCATGAAAACTTGTATTTCAATTTTTATAAGTCAAAATGGTGTATTTTTGATGTGATATGAAATATTTGGGCTGTATAAATGTAAAAAATAAAATTTAGGTGTCAGATATGTTACTACATAGGAATTGGTTGAATGTATTTAAATGCCGCTTATTTTAAACATTCCCTACCTTTTTGCAATTCTCTTATCATAATTTTTAAAAAACCAATAGTTAGATAATGTAATTTTAATTGTTTAGGGATGCAATATGCTTTTGCAGGTGTCAAAAGCTTCAACAATGGATGCTTCAAAAGAAAGGCTAAGGCTCCAAGCAGTTGAATTATACAGGAAGAGCAGAGGATGGGAGTCTAGGCCTGGAATCAAACTTTAGTTGTAGAAGCTAATAATTCATGACTGGTAAATGCTTTCCATCTTTTTTTTGTCAAATTTTTAATGTATTTTTTTTTTCAAAATTATAATTTAATTATTAGAAGTATCGAGTGACATACTGATCATAGAGAGTGAAAATGAGATAATGAGTGTAATTTTAGTATTTTGTTCATTTTTCTCTCCATTTGAATGCATTTATGGCAAGGACTGAAATATCTACATGTGATTCTTTGTTGAAGAGCTATAACGTATTCCATTACTTAATATGCTGGATTTAAGTCCTATGTAGCTACATATCTTACACCTAAACTTCAATTTTTATATACATGCTGCATTAGCCATGCATGACAACGTGCATTTCACTACGTAAAGTTTAGAATGGTTGCATTTTTTATTTATAAGAGATTTGGGTGGTTTAAACTTAAAAAAAAAACTTAAGATTAGGTGTTACATATGTAAATTCATAAGAATTGTGTGGTATGTATGTAAATGCATCCCCTTTTTTCTTTGAGTAGTGGTAATATACATGGCTCTGAACCCATTATCTTAGAGAAATAACCTTCTCTTAAACCACAAATAATTCCTTAAAACGAATTAAGCCCTGTATTATTGCTCAGAAATTTATAGTATGCATGTTTTTTTTGTGTTAAGACGTTAAGCATGTGTTTAATAAATAAATTTCTATATTATTATTCATGTATAAAATACAAATCACAGTTAAAGTATATCATGACAGTATGTTGTCTTATGCAGCATCATGTAATAATACTATTAGTAAATTCCCCTATAAAGGGTAGTTTACATACATAGCAAACAATACTTATGTATTTACATATCTCACGTCTAAACTTTCATATTCACACGCTGCACGTTCGTGTATGCATGGAAATGTGTATTTTACTTAATAAAAACTAGTAATAGTGTTATTCTTTATGTGATATTAAATATTTGAGTGCTATATGTGGAAATGTGAGATATGTAAATACATAAGAATTGTGTGGTGTGTATGTTAATGCCCCTAATATAAAATAAAATGTGTCTAGCATCACATATAAATTGTACAATTCAAGTCTTATCATAAATCATAACATACTAAATAATAGTAATAATAAAACCAATAAGAGTTTGAATATTTGAAACAAACAAAGAAGAAAAATAAAATAAAATTAGTAATTCAATTATGTCTGAGTCTAAACCAAAATTTCTAAGCAGTCCTCTTGCTTCAAGCCATAGCAATTAAAAACATTTGACTCTTGATCATGAGGCATAAGAAATTGGAATTCTGATTTTGTGCTTTATTATAGGCCATGCATGACATTTGCTGACTATAATTGTCTTCGTTGGTTGGCAATTCTATTTTATGCGTTTAATCATATATTGACTTCTGGTGTTATTTGGTTTTAGGAGGTGGCACTCAATTAACAAGAAAGATGATGAAATATAGTTATAATTATATTGTGTTCTTGAAGAAATTTTTAGTTAATTAACAAAAATAAAATTAAATCTATATGCATTATGGAAATGATTTCTTTTTTTTTTTCGGGTTAAAATAAACACTCGAATTTTAAATATAATATTTTAATCACTCAAAATTTTAAATATAACATTTTAACAAATTCAAATTTTCACTCAAAAGCCTTTACTAGTAGGTAAATGAGGAGAAAATATTGCATCAAGATTCCGCTGATGGAGTTACGTGCGGAGTCCAATGAAATCACGCCACGTGGCGGTGACGGAAAAAAAATATGCACGGTAACATAAGAGAATATTCCTCCCGTGTTATTCATGTGTTATTTTGTATTATTCAGGTGTTATTGTGTTATTATAACACCAGTAATATTCACAGTACACAATAACATCTGAATAACACAGAATAACATAGGGAGAATATTCTCATGTGTTATCGGATCGAATTTTTTTTCTGTCACCTACATGTGGCGTGATTTCATTGGACTCCGCACGTAACTCTATGTGCGGAGTCCTTATGAAATATTTAAATATTATTTTTAAAATCTGGATGATTAAAATATTATATTGAGTGTTATATGTGTTTACTTATCTAATACATAGACTTTGATTTTTATATTTAGTCCCTCAAAATCTTTCATTTCACATCAAGCTTATAACGATTTCAAATTTAATAAGTGTATGCAAATTTTCATGCATCGGTTGGATGACATATAGGTAAACATTTATGTTCAGGTGTTAGGCATGTAAATTTATAAGAAATAGGTGGTATTTATGTAAATATTCTCTCTTTTGTTTTTTTTTCTTATTGTCTGAAGCTAACAGAATCTAAATTTAGCAAATCAGATGCATTTAAGTTTTGAATCACGATCATAGATTTAACAATAATACCAATGACATAATATCAAGAATTAAGTGCTAATTTAAAAAATATTTAAAGCACTACATGTTCCACTACACATACTTTTCTTTGCTAAATGGTGGGTTCTGAATCTCTATATTCTGTATTATATATCTCTAAAATGAAGGCGGCGCAATTATTTCTGTTATTTTAATCTCTGAATTTTTTTTTTTTAAATATAAGAAAAAATTCTAAGGATCTTATTATTTTTGTAATTCCTACATGAGCTCTAATTTTATACGGGCGGCGCAATTATTTCTGTTATTTTAATCTCTGAATCTTTTTTAAAAAAAAAGAAAAAATTCTCAGGATCTTATTATTTTTGTAATTTCTACAGAAGCTCTAATCTTATAGGAAAAATATTACATCAGGACTTTAAATGTAGAGCTACATTCGGATTGGAATATCCCGCTATATTACAAAAACGTAGAGCTACATTCGGATTGGAATATCCCGCTATGTTACAAGAATATTCCATCTGCGTTATTTATATAAAATGAAGTGCTATTCGAGCATTATATAGTGCATTCGATTATTTTGCGGTGTTATTGGAATATTCCTCTGAATTTCTTGATTTGGGGCTGAAATATTATTAGAATATTCCCCTGTGTTAGAATATTCCAATAACACCACAAAATAATCGAATAAAATGATATAATACTCAAATAACATTTTATTTTTTATAAATAATGCAGATGAAATATTCCCATAATATAACGGGATATTTTAATCTGAACGTAGCTGTTATCTTGATCCTCATGAGCAATTGAAATTTGATGATAACCGGTATATCCATCTAAAAAGTAGTAATATTTGTTTCTAGCCAATCTATCCAACAAATAACGCAAGAGAATATTCCAATAACACCACAAAATAATCAAATAATACAATATAATACTTGAATAACATTTTATTTTTTTATAAATAATGCAGATGAAATATTTCTGTAACATAGCGGGATATTCCAATCTGAACGTATCTCCACGTTCGGAGTCCTGATTTAATATTTTTGATTAATTGATTATGTAAGCACTGATGTCAGTATTTAAGCGGTGCTAATCAGACTCAGTTTTCTTTGGAGGACTGCTATTTTGGCTAGAGTGAAGATTTACTACTTTGCCATGGGTGTGAATATAATTTCATTTAATTGTTTGGAGCAAATTGCTAATGTGAATTGCAAAATCTTTTTTTTTATATTTTGGATGGCTTTAGTGAAAGATAATTAAAAGGGGACTCAAAATTAGAAATAAAATTAAGCACGTGTAAGAATAGCTTATTGATAAAAATGCAATGTGTCATTTGCTTGTTTTGAATTAAGAACGAAATTTAGAATAATGAAAAAGTTTTTAATCTATATTTCTTCATTTTTTTTTTCAAATAATAATTTTGTGGAGCAAATTGCTAATGTGAATTGCAAAATCTTTTTTTTTATATTTTGGATGGCTTTAGTGAAAGATAATTAAAAGGGGACTCAAAATTAGAAATAAAATTAAGCACGTGTAAGAATAGCTTATTGATAAAAATGCAATGTGTCATTTGCTTGTTTTGAATTAAGAACAAAATTTAGAAAAATAATGAAAAAGTTTTTAATCTATATTTCTTAATTTTTTTTTTCAAATAATAATTTTAAGGGGCATTTTCATAAATATCACTAAATTTAGATGCATTTGCATGCCTAAGTTCTAAATTATACTTTTACATTTATATGACTTTCCATGCATAAAGAAGGTGACAAATATATAAAAATTAAAATTTTCATGTAAGATATGTACATACATAAAAATTGAATGAAATGTCTGTAAATCTTCCTAATTTTGATAGCAAATTTATAATAAATAAATCAATAAATTGAAAACTTCTTACTGGATACTATTAAATGAAAATATCAATAAATTTAGATGCATTTGCATGCCTAAGTTCTAAATTATACTTTTACATTTATATGACTTTCCATGCATAAAGAAGGTGACAAATATATAAAAATTAAAATTTTCATGTAAGATATGTACATACATAAAAATTGAATGAAATGTATGTAAATCTTCCTAATTTTGATTGCAAACATATAATAAATAAATAAAAAAATTGAAATTTTTTTACTGGATACTATCAAATGGGCCATTTAAGAGCACTTTAATGTTAATTAATATAAAGCTATACTATTAACTTTTACGTTTAATATTGTAAAGAAGCCCAAAAGATGTTGGGAGTCTAATGCTTGCTTTTTTGGAGTCCATTGTTAGTATCTCACGAGTGGGAATATATTTATAATGTTTTTAGGCCACCTTAGTTTAATTTTTATTTATTTTATTTTTTTTTGCCATACTTCTTAATCTTAATAAAAAATCACCTAATTTTAATGGACTTTAATATTAAATATTATAAAATATAAATTAATATGTTCAAGTATACTAATGATTGCTTGAGATGAGAACTAAGCATTTGAAATATGACCTAAAAACTAATATTAAAGTCTATGCTCGTTGATAATGAGATTCATATACATTCATTTTTTTATTTTTTTATAGTACGTTTCAAATATAATAAATATACATAAAATGTAAATATGACCTAAAAACTAATATTAAAGTCTATGCTAGTTGAAAATGAGATTCATATACATCCATTTTTTTATTTTTTTCTAGTTCGTTTCAAATATAATAAATATACATAAAATGGTATTAAAGTTTTTATATCAGTTATTCGAATGCACGTACCCCGACATGTTGGTTAGCATTCACAGTATAAAACCCCTCAAGTCGGATCCCCTATGACATAGTTTGGCTTTAAGGAAGTGGTACTCGAATTGTTAGACACATTAAAATTGGCTGGAGGCTCTTATACTAGCCTCTGACTATCCATTTCTAATATATATATATATTACTCAATAAATTTTAGATATGTTCTCTATAATGTCATCTCTATCAACTGAAATTTATGCCTCAATAAGGGAGAAATATTTTGCGTACGTAAGACGTAAGCAGCGCTGCGTACGTCAGGTAGGTTACAGGGAGGGTATTGAGAGTTATATCTGCGTTATAACCTCTATAACCTACATTTAACTTACAAATATATCAAAATAGAAGCGCTAATTTTACTAGTTACAGGAAAGTTACAAGAATATAATGTAGATATAACACGAATATAACTCCGAATAACTTCCCTATAACTTAGCAGATGTACCCAAATATTTCTCACAGTAAAGAACTCCAAATTCAAACATTCAGTGGATTTTAACCATGCTAAAGATTTTGCCATTAGGCCCCGGTAAATTTGCTTTTGTCAAATTGCAAGACACTATTTATATTCCTCTTCCTCTATTTCCCTACCCGCCCTTTCATCCTCATTGTTTCCGCGACTATCCAGAGCTCTCTGTTCCAGCTGCCATGGGTTCTTCCACTCTATCTCCTCAGCTTGCTCAGAAACCTTACACCAACCATAAGCAAACCCCCTTCCGCTTCCGAACGCTCAGTTCCCGCCGCTCCCCGCCTTCCCTCCTCCGTTGCTCCGCCGCTCCCCGCTTCTCCGCAGCTATCGCCGTCACGGCTTACAACCCTGCTCTCCGGCTTCACCTTCTTTCCAACGAATTTAGGTCCCTTCATGAGCCCATCGATCGCGTTAAGCGTATTTAGGTCCCTTCATGAGCCCATTGATCGCGTTAAGCGCTCTCCTCTTCTACGCCGCTGATCTCCCACCTTTCCCCGATTCCGATCGCATACCTTCCAACCGCGTCACGGGTTGCACCGCTCAGGTCTGGCTCTCCGCTTGGATGGACTCCATAGGCCGGATGCGATTTGCTGCCGATAGCGATTCCGAGATCGCTCGCGGTTTCTGCGCCTGCCTCCTTTCCGTTGTTGATGGCACGCTTCCGGAGGATGTGTTAGCGATGCGCGCAGAGGATCTCGCAGATCTCAATATTGTCGGACTTTCCGGGCGTACCCATTCTAGGGTTAATACGTGGCACAATGTGCTGGTTAGTATGCAGAAGAGGGCTCGTGCGCTCATGGGCCAGGGAGAAGGGCGGTCAATGGTAGATCCCTTTCCATCTCTGGTACTTGGAGGTGATGGGATTAGCTCAAAGACGATCTACACTGAAGCCCAGGTGAGTGTTCCTGGACAATCCCTTTTTCACGGGCTTTCATCCATGGAGACTTAGGATGAGATCAAGTTTCTTCTATTTGTCCTCCCCATTCCCATTTAAGGATTTCTGGAACAATTCGTTTTTGTTCTAGGCCACCATGAGGAGGCTTTAATAAAAGGTAGGGAAGTATATATATATATATAAAAGAGTTATATATATATATATATATATATATAGCTGTTGTAACAAAGGAAAGCTGGTTTGAAGGTCATAATGATTACTAGATAAAGATTATAAAATGAAATGAGATTGTATTTTTGGGAAAAGTTATGTCTCCGGTATATCTTCATTCATAATGATAACTTGATAAGTCTCACTGGATTGTGCATTGGTTAAGGGGCCGTTGGGTTTGTTAAAAACGTTAGTTGTAAACATGAAAAATAATTTTTTAGAGCTTATTCGATTGTTTGAAGTAAAACATCACATGTAAAGTCCGAATTAAACTAACAACACTTAACATAAAAAACACATAACAACATTTAGCACACATCAAGGGGCTGTTTGCTTAAAATGAATGTAAAATGTACTTTCTTACAAATTTTTATTTTTTATAGTACTTGATTGGTAGTAAATCAAAAGTAAAATAAAACTTTGATGTTTTAAAGTATCTCAAAGCCCTGATTTCCCTTGCAAAGCAAAAATGGACATATTTATGGCAGTTTATTTCCCTCATTGTATGAATTGTCTTCTTCTACGTCATGGGATGCAGTGGTTCTTGTGAAGGGAGGAGAGGGGTGATGATGCTTATGGAGGAGTAATGCCAGAATAGGGGTAAGGCCTGCTATCATGATTGTGGAGGCGAAGAGGAGGTCTAGAAAGAGGTTGGTTGAAGTGGAAAGAAGGTAGCATCTAGTTAGGAAATTTGGACATTATTAAGAGTGGTGGTGGAAAGAAGGAAGCATCTAGTTTTAAGTTTATTGGCTAACTATTAAAGGTGAAATTTTTACATTATTATAGTGGTGGTGGGATAGATTGTTAGCTGAAACTTTTTTATAGTGAATGATTATTTTTTTTTTTCTTATATAAAAATTGGTGAGAACCTCTAGATAGAGGTTTGGAATATTAACTAACCATTAAAGGTGAAATTCGATATGTAAATAAGAAGTTTTAGAATGTTTATATGAATTGATGATAACAAGTAGGCAATAATAGCAAGGGTTTTGTTGAAGGGATTTAGCATGGGGGTATTTCCTTCGAAAGTTGTACCGGTTTTATCGGAACTGGTTCTGTTGAGAGAGGGGGCTAAACCGGCCCCTACTCCCATCTTTTCATTAGCAAGAAATTCCCCATCTTTTTTCATTTCCCAGTCATCTCATTTCTATTTATGTGTTTTTAGGTCTTAGGAAAACATTTTATGTTAATTTTGATTTCAGATTTGTGAGGACAACCGTGAGCCCTCTTTATTTGCAATACTATTATTGTTTCTTTTGTGTAATGAGCTTCTCTCCTTCGGTATCAGGGTGTGACTTCGTTTTTGTTAGATTTAACTTGTTTTAAAATTTGGGAACGTGGTGGAGAGCTATGAGAAAGTAGGTGGGGTGCCGAGGAGGGGTTCATATGCTAGGATTCACAAGTCTTAATTTTGATTTATTTGGAAATCAATCCGAAAGTAATTTTATTAATTTTTTGTAGACATAATTTTTTTGAGAGATAAAGTTATTTTTTACAATATAGAAAATATTATAGAAAAGCGAACGCGCGAAACAGGAGCTGCTTAACGAGCCGAACACGAGCTGTTCACGAACAACGAGCCAAATTGACGGCCCTATCCTTGAGGAACCCTATTTGAAACCAAAAATCCCTCCATAAAGCTCCCTTCCCAAACAATAACGGGCGGCATCCTTGAGGAACCCTATTTCGAAACTATTGCAAACCACTTCAATGATGAAAGATTACCTAAACCCTTGATACAAATTATGATTCTTCCTAGGAGTATTTTATTGATCTATTTATAGGCCTCCTTTTTTGTCTTGCATCATCGGTATTCATGAAGGAGGGATTCATGAGGTTTTTGGTTCATTGTATTTGGAATGTGATATAAAGTACACATGCAAAATAAATTTAATGAATTTGGCAGCATTTACTTGAAATTTGTGAAGGAAATGCGGCAAAAAAACTTATTAATTTCAAACTAAAAAAAAAGAAAAAAAAACCTAAAATTTACGCCAAACATTAAAAAGACTAAATTTACATGCAAATTGTTTACATCAAATGTTTACTCAACCAATCAATCCCTAACTTATTTTACACTGCCTTTGCTCCACAACAAATCAAACAACCTCTACTTATGCCTCATCTTTTCTCTTATATGGTTTGTCTTGTATGAGAACGAAATATTTGTTTCCTTCTATATTCATATAATATATTTGAGATATTGTAAACATTCCTCCCAAATTTAAAAATTTAAATTGAATTGGGAAGGTTGCCCTCTCAACTTTAAATTGATCCTTTAAATTGAAACAATGGAAATTTAATTGTTAAAAAAGTATGCACCTTGTTCTGATTATTTGTTCTATGGTTGGTGTATAGAATTCAAAATTGTTTTGTTCTGTGATTTAATCATATTGTATGGTCTTTGAATAACAAAAATTGGAAAATAGAACATCTCATTACATAATTGAATTTATGAAGCATAGACACGTTCATGGGGACACAACATAATTGAAAAAATAGGTCACGAAACGTGAGAGACACATTTTTTATATTTACTTAATAAATAATATATATA